CCCCAAAACCCCAAAACCCCAAAACCCCAAATGACCACTTTAAATAAGATGAGATGATTTTAAAATCAATTTTTATTAAAACATACTTAACTTAATAATCACTAAAAGGGGAATGAATACCTATTACTTATTCCTGATAGCATGTTATTTCTATTTTTCGAGGCATTATTTGACCATCCTCCATTAAACTATTAAAATCTCTTAGCAATCAATGTCTCCTAATCTTCAGGCTCCTCCTAATCCTCCTCTCTAGAAAATAATATTTGATTATCAGTCACACCATCAACTATCTCATTTTATTGGAGGAACTTAACATGAGTGACATTAGTAGGGGTTTCAACAATTTAAAAATCATGTTTCTCATTTATAAGATCAAGAGTGTAGCATTTTTAGTCATTCTCATCATATTTAAGTAATTCAACTAGGTCTTGTTCATCGAAGTATTTCATAAGATTTCCACTAGTGTCTTCAAGTGTAGCTTTACTTAAACCGCTTTTGTACACTTATCTTCTATAGATCTTTTCCTCGACGCTACATGTAGAAATTAGTCTATACACAATCACATCCCGCTTCTGGCCAATTCTGTAACACCTATCAATACTTTAATTATCATTGGCAGGATTCCAGTCTGGATCAATAATCACTGCCCTGTCTGCTGAGACTAAATTCAATCCTACACCTGACACTTAATTTGTTAGCAAAAAGCAAAATATCTAAGGATCATTATTGAAATTCTAGCAAATTTTATCTCTATTTGGAATGGGAACATCTCCATCTAATCTAAGAAACTTATACAAGGTTTCGTATTTCAGCTAGTCAAGAAAGTTTTTTTAAATCAATAAGAAATCTTACTATATTTTCAACAAGGTTTAGCAATATCTTAGACTTAGAAAATATGAGGACTTTGTGTCCAGAGGAGTAAAGTTCATTGAGCAATTCAAATAAAAACTTAATCTTATTAGACTATCTGATCCACTTCTTATAGTCTTTGAAGTCAAATGTATCTTCAATCTATTTCTTAATGTATCTAAGTCCAAGTTTCTCAGCTAAACTTAACTTTTGGTCATCATCTCTGATTACATCAGTTGCCTCAGATCTATCATCAATACTCTCCGCATCTTCATCAATAGTCATGACTTACTAATCTAATTCGTCATCTTCAATTGCTTCTTAGTCCTTGACTAAAGGTATTAAAATTTCTATTTAACTTACAAAAAGTGTGAAGTAATATCAAAGGGTGCACGCAGAGATGTTTCAATGCTAAAATGATGATAAAGATATGCTTCTTAGACTATTGTTTAGCCACCCTTTTAACACTGTCTTCTTAGAGTATCAAACTATATATCTTTTTCTGGACATCATTTAACGGAATCCAGATCACTAAATCAGTTTTGATTGGAAGCTCATTAGGTAGAAGTGGTTCATCGGATAATTCAGAAGATTTAATTTAGAATATTTCCTTTTTAGTTCTCCTTAGAAAGAGAGGCTTGTAAACATCTTTCAACTCTTAAATCTTCTCCTAAGCTCTCATAAGGTATCTAAATTAGGCATTCTTTTTAAGCCCTCTATCTATAACCTTTGAGAAGTCTGATTAGAACTGCTTATATTCACCTAATATTCCATCTTGCACTATATCAATTAAACTGTAAAACTCATTCAGATTGTTCTAGACAGGTGTGCCGCTCAAGATAACTTTTTGTTTTCTCACATATATTGCTTTTAGAGTTTTTCTTAGTTATGTGTAAATGTTTTTAGCTTTATGCCCTTCATCTATAACCATAAGATCAAGTTTCCCATACTATTCAAAATGATCAACATGCTTAATTAAGCTCTATGGAGATACTAAGTAAACAGTTCTGTTCTTTTAGTTCACTTAAATTACTTAGATTCTTCTCTTCAAATCTTAATTTAAGTATTGAATATTCATATTCTACTCAGGTGTCCATCTTATTATCTCCCCGTACCAGTAGTCAAGCAAAGTGGCAGGTGCTACGATCAAGGCCTGTCTGAGCAATTTTTAGTTGAATAATATTCCAAGGAGTATAGATATCTGGACTGTCTTACCTAAGCCCATGTCATCTGCTAATATGCACCCGATGTTGTTTTGATAGTTATTGTATAGCCATTTTACACCTTAAATCTAATGAGGATATCTAAAACAGAATATATGATTAGATTCAAATTATACTTACAATTTTTCCAGAATATACTTTGGAATTACTTCTTCTGCCTCTTTTGGAATATTTTTATCCCTTTATTAAATATCATTTTTATTGTCATTTTTCCTGTGCAAAATTATTCTTTCCTCTGCTTAAATCTGCCTTTAGTTATGATTTTCCGCTTAATTAATGATTGAATCTGTGTTTTAACCTAAGCTAGAAGTTGTTTGAAGCTACTTTTCTGGATTTCTCTATAAGTAACTTGGCCTATAGGTTGTATCAATTTATTCAAACTGGGTTTAATCTTTTTCCATGAAGTTTAGAATATCAACTCGCTTCACTGAAGATGACTTGGTAATTAATATTTCAGAATCATCATGATTTTATTCCTCATCTTTGACGGTCAATCACTTTAACCAGTCAACACTGTCAAATGCCTGTGATTCACCTGATTAACCATTTGACTTAGATTGGTCCACTTGCTTTAAACTCAGTATACTTTGATCTTGTTGCTCATCTTAAGTAGACTCACTAGCAGAGAAGTGCTTGATCTCCATTTGTTTAAATTATTTAAGTATTTTAAAATATTCAAACAACTAGTTACTTCAAATTAGCATTGGGGTTTTGGGGTTTTGGGGTTTTGGGG